GTACAAGTGGCCAAACATGCATCTATCTACTGAACGGTGCGATTTGTTCGGCAACTGGTTACATCATAGTTCGTTCCTAATCGATTTTCCGCAGTACTTCATCTTCAATGTTACGATTCATTTAATTGTCCAATTATAGAAATTTATTTAAATCCCTCTTTTCACGAATTACTTATCGTTATTCTCGTTTGTTTCTCCTTGCAATATTCCATTCATATTCCACACGCGGAATCTTATTATACGCAGCTGCGATCATGTATAGATCTAATCTGAAGCATAATGTACGAAGAATAATTCGAATCTTCGTTTCATCTAATTTTTTACCAATTAATAATTAATAATATATTCAAATTTGTGAATATAATACTTGAATTAAGAGTGATTATATCGAATAAAATTACCTATTTATACGTCTGACCAAGTTCAAATGTTTCCACTGAAACCGCGTTCGCTTAATGACCTGGCAACTTCACTAATAAAAGTATAATAACTTTATGATTGAATATTCATTCCACGATTTTCTACTTTCTCAATTCCACGATAACTTTCTACGGCTAACGTTCTAAGTCTACTTTTATGAAAGATTAAATACATATAATAGCTGAGTAAAATAACATATTTATAGGTCTGACCAAATTTAGATATTTCCACTAAAACCTCGTTCGCGCAACGATTCGACAACTTCCCTAATGAAAATAACTTCATGAATTTTACAAACAATCTCTCTGTCTAGTTTACATACGATGATTCTAGGTTAACAATTAACCAATTAAATAAAGTTGAACACATCGGATAAAATAATATATTTATACGTTTAGGTAACTTTGGCCATTTCTAGTGAAACTTCGCTCGGCTTGATGGTCGTGTAATTTCACTCGACGTAATTAATATAAATGAAAGATTTTGAAATGACTCCGATCCAAGATTAAATAATCCCGTCCAATTCAGCCAAAGCTTTTCACTTGAATATTTCACTGGCTCGCTGTATATTTTATTTATTTCGTCCGCGGAGATTCATTTTGACGCGTTGAATTGCATATCCAATTTCAGACGTCGGAAATGTAACAAAACAGGTCGCGGTTAGTCGATTTCTTCACCTCTGTTAGGTTCCTAAAGTTACGTTCCTCGCAAGAAAGTACTCCCCGCGTGCACAAAATAATTACCTCCGTGTAACGTGACGGGCCAAGCTACTAACGTTTGCTTAGCATCACTTCGGGACCACGTAGAAAATCATCGTGGCTCTAACGCGTTGGAAATTGCGAAACTTTTCTCAACTCTGATATGGACATCTTTCCAGAACGACAATTCATCACCGCGTAAAAATTCAGTGACCTGGCAGTTAATGGTCCTATTTTAATCCTGTGCGGTTCACTGTTCAAACATTCGATGAATTAAACAGGTTCACTGTTCAGTCTCCCTAAACAAATTTCGATGCCGTGCATATAGAAGTATATCTTTCAGAGATTTTAATGAGTATTAAATATTTAATTTTACATAACTGTGTTTTATTTTACTTGTTCAAATTTATGTTTAAAATTAACGTGGATCACGTTTCTACGCTTTAAATCAATGGATCGTAAAGGGTTGATCTTTTCGCATTTGCAGACGAAATATCTCGCTGTGGGATGTTGTTTGTGATACGCTTTGTATAAAGTATCTTGTAACGCAATGTCGTTCGTGTGCCGTTTTCGACGAGATATCACGCTATGTAATATCGTTGACGTAACACTTTGAACAAAGTATCTGGTCTTTTCACTAGAACTCGAGATATTTCAACGATTCGAATAAAAGTGAATTCTTCTAAATAAATTATTTTACTTTGTATATGATCGATGATATTGCTGCAGTATCGTGTGATTTTCAGCGATCTTCTTATTTTTTACGGATTCATTCTTCCTTCCAAAAATTTCGAGCATGATAAGACTTTGAAAGAAATTACGACTTATTCGAACAAATAAATATTTTCTTTTGTGATATCAATATGTTCAAGTATCGAAGCTCCAATTTAACCATATTTAAAATCGAAACGTCCAACTACGATATTCATATTTCTCAAAGGACGTACGAAAATTTGTTCCGTTTGGAACTTGCGTGTTGAGACATTTCATTCTCAGATACGAATAGATCAACTAATTAAGACAGAAAGGATCTACGTCTCATTATACGTGATTCGCACTCTATCTGGAGAATATCGTTGAAAGAACTCGAATATTCTCCAGACTTTTAGTAAAATCCGAGATTGGTGCCGGTTCATCCAACGACCGAGATCATTTACATCGCGGCCAATGTTTGTCCGTCGACGTTGAGCTAAAATGAAAATTTATATTCCTCTGTTCCACATGCCGGTAAAACGGCCGTTCGTCCATAGATTATTCCGCCTTTGACAGCAGCGAGAAACTAGAATTTTCCTCGATAAAGCTCTCTTTCTCTTTCCCTATCCCCTCCGTTTCCCGCTGATTTCTCATTCCTCTGTTGACCGCGTTACCATCGCCGGCAGATTTCTTTTTCTTTTCTGCACGTATACGTCGGGAGCAAAGAAGAAAGTGGTACGTGGTTTTACGAACCTGTCGAGAGCGTGAAGACGTAGATTCAGCGTCCCGTCACCCGGATGCCCGGAAGCTGAAGTGTCACGACGACTTCTGCTGCGATGTTCCCTTAGAGCCGCCGTGTCGTACCAAACGGCGCTATAGTGTCTGATGTACGAGCCATGAATGATCGCTGAAAACACGAGAAAAGTGTTTCACATTAAATTCACCGTCCATCGACTGAATCGTTCAATGTTCAAAATTCTTTTCGCATAAATATTTCGAATCTCCGTTCTCGACTTTGTTTCATGTGACGTGCAAAGTAACAATCATAAATATTTCTGATCTTCGCTATACTTCACATACTAATTCTACGTAGAAATAAAAATACCATTCAAACAGAACTGTACGAATTTATTCTCGAAATTTCTACTCAACGTACTGTGATAATTGTCAAAAATCTCTAATCGGTAACCGCGAAGAGCTTCAAGTCTACGTTCTTCCCATAAGGGTCTACAAATTGCCATTTCTAGACAGTTTGCCAATAATCAACGAGGAATAACGAGGCTCAATTCTCCAACATTGGCAACCATCGCAAACAACTGACCGCTTTTGAGATATCGAAACAATTCACGTGTCATCGCAGGTAGCGTATTTCTTGCAAGTTCCGAGAATTCGTACGTTCAGGACACGTCAATTTCTGTTGAAATGCGAGAAGAAACTCTGAGTTCTCCATTGATCCTTGAAGATAAACGGAAACAGTAAACAAATCACTTCCTCGATGTTTACGCTTGATTTAATTCGGATAATTAAATGCATCTCTTAACTTCGATGTTTTTTTATTCGAAGTTTCTTAAAATTACAGGGAAGACGTAGAGAAAAGTCATTAAATCAATTGTACGCTACTGCTGTATTTAAGACATGAAATCAATCACATAGAACTCGGTTGAAGCCAACGCAGGTTTGTCAGACAGAAAATCCCCAAAAGCAGCAGAATTCAATCTAATAATGAACAACTTCATAAACAACAATACCTCTCAATCGTCAGGAAATGGCATATAATTCCAAGCACGAAATTTTGCAGAAGAGTTGCAAAAGCTCGGGTGGAGCGCGCAGAAACTCCCCGGCTGAAATGTCGAGAGAGGGATCTGAATGCAAATTATTTCCGTGGTAATACATTTTCTCGATTCGACGCGCCCTATCTTCAAGATGTCTGATCACGCGCCGACTCATTTTACTTAAAGGCGTCCGACTACTACGGACTGATTCTATTAAACAATGTCTAGCCAGTGCGAACTCGTTCTACTTAATGGTGTCGGGCTATGCGCAGGCTCATTCTACTTAGAAATATCTGACCACGCATGAACTCATTCTACATTTAGTCGACATTTATCTATTTACCGCACTCAACGCCCGTAACGATTCCCAGCAGCCCCCTCGAGCTTACAAGCCCACTGTGAACCGGTGATATCATCGTTCTGCTTTCATAATACCGCGGGGTGGTCCGAGACGAAAGCCGCTGACTTATTTCTCCGACGGCGAAGGAAAGAGGGAAATTCCACAACGTCGTCTTCTTCCTCGCGAGGGAGGTTACTACATCCAGCACGAGGTGATCGATCGAACACGGGCAACCTTAGGCGAATATTCTCATCGGAGCACCATCGAAAATTCTTGCGCCTCTGTTCTATTCGAGGCTCCCTGCTAATTCAATATTAGCCTCGGCAGCTGTTGCTCCTCGCATACTTGTCGATAGGTGGCAATTATTAATTTTCGGAAACCGTGAACGCGAATCGATATTAGACTACTAGAGAACGTAGCTTAGATAATTTCCCGTCCCATGTGCCGCAAGTTCCAGCTTGTTAACTATTATATGTAGTTTACCATACGCGTTCCCATAGTACGCGCTAGCTGAACTCTCGATTATTACTAGTCGGCCAGACTTGAAACGAAATCAAACGCAAGTCATTGGAAGAAAGAGAGAAACGCTATTTGACAAATTTTCCATCTAATCCACCACCAAAGTCTTGCTTTCGCTCATTTCGCTTCAATAAGGCATTACCTTCGTCAATTTTCGATTGGAACTAGACGCTTGTAAACTATTGAAAAAAGAACGTAAGTGAATCAACAATGATGAAAACTTGTCGATATTTCAAACTGTAATATCAAGAACAATCATGGAAAGATTATGGTCTGTTCTGTACAACAATCCCTCAAAATTTGTACAATTTTTGCCATTTTATTGATCCTTGAACATCGTCGTCCAACACTGATATCCAAAAATTCAACAAAATGATGAAAAAAAAAAAAATCGTAAGGGGTCGTCGTAAAAAGAAAATTTCAATCGTTAAAACCGTGAAAAAATGTTTACAATACTTTTAGAAAACGTTTCTCTTTTTACAATTTTCCAGAGTAACACGATGTAAAAACATGTTTGAAAGGAACGAACTCAGAGCTGTCAAAGTAGAGACTGCACGCTTTAAAATGAGATCAAATAAACTGTCGCGCGACTCTTTTTTTCACGAACTTATAAAGTAGTTTAACTAGTAAAGTTCGAAATATCGACAGTTTCTCATCGTTATTGGTTCAATTGCGCGCCTCACTGTAATTTATTGTGTACGTTACTATGAAACATAATGACCGAAGTCTCAATCCGTCTAATCCATTTCACATTAGAACTTGAAACAAAGTGAAAGAAGTGCGAGACATTCCGTGCGACGCAGCAGCAGAAAAGAAATCCCTCGAACTGTGGAACCTCTGAATAAATTTCGCGCAGAGAATTTTCGTAGAACAAAAGGGACCGAATGAATATTTTCATTAGACGAACGCCTCCATGACGAAGTGACTGCCAGTCGTTATTAGACTATCTGACCTTGCAAACATTTGACGCCGGTCAATTGCACGCCGGTCGCTTGTATCACTTTACACCGATCCGACAATAAATGCTCTCCGACCTTTTAATCTTCAAATATTTGCCATTGCGACGGGCAATTGGGCGCGAACTTCCATTCCCGCCGATGCTTTCCCGCTTTTCAAACCGAGTTCGATCGGTCTCGGCAAGTCGGGCTCGTAACTTACGGCACGCTTCCTTTTTTCCCCCCCTAAAGCTCGTTCGAATTGAGTTTGGAATTACGTTCTCGTTCCACGCTGGCTGGATCAGCTTCGATTGCCTGCTCGTCGGCACCTTGCACGCGCAATGAGCACCACTTCAAAGTTTTCAGCTTTTGCGTGGCAATTTGTACTTCAACCGCTTCAACATATCCGCGATAACAATAGCGTTCAAAATCTGTTGTGGCTAGATGCTCACTTACCAAACCGAGGAATTTATGAAATGATTTGCTTTTTCAGCGACATTTGAATGTAATGTCGCATGAAATACAATGACGACGTGATTTTCTACAAATATCAGTATTCACCAAAGGCTTTTTAGCTGGACGTTTCTATTTTTCAAATCTTGCAAATTCGCGTCAAGCGAGCTGAGAAATGTTCACAATATTGTTAAGAATATATTGTTTGTGGTAATTATCTTCACCGTGTACTGCGTGTTTGAATCGACTAAACTAAAAGGGAGGAATAAAAGCGATCGCCTATCTAAATAAATCTACAACAAGACTCGTAGATAAACGCGTTTAAATTCAGTTTAAACGCAAGATTCGCTGAAATTAAGCCTTGTTCAGGTAAACTGGGCATTAGCAGAATCGAAAGTGGATCTACTAGAAACTAAGATTCAATCATACAGTATGTACACAGGATCGCGAAGGATCGAGTTCGTTTCGTTTCGTTAGGCAATCTGAGGTCCGCAAGGTTCGACAAGACAGCACCAGGCTTTCGTAACTCGTCCATCCTGTCCAAGTATCGCGTATTAGATCGGTATTGCGTCACGAGCTCGACACAAAAACAGAGCTATGTCGCTATTTCTGCCGTCGTTGTCGCCAGCCATTATGGTAACCGTAACCGTGTTATTGTCGTGAAATCGCACGCGAGCTCGCGCCGCCCCGTTGAAATCCCATTAATGACGTTCGAGCGGCTTCGAAGCGTCGCAATATCAGAATCAGCGTCAATCGGCACGATGCAATTATGATCGGCCGATCGGGAACCGTGATTCGAAAACAAAAAGAGAGAGAGAGAGAGAGAGAGAGAGAGAGATGAAAGGAAAAAATTCACCTCGATAGGCATTTCGCGTTCAAGCGTGGAATCGATATGCTAAATTTTCGGTGGCGCGTGCACGCGAGGATATCTGGCGATCGTTCTGGTCACTCGCCCGCCGACAGATTTATCCGGCATTTCCGCCGGATATCGTGCGCACCATTGAGTGACACCGTACGCCCCGGTTATCTGCGCGTCGGTCCTTGTCGCAGCTTCCGTAGACGAGTCGCTGTTGCGGCGAGAATTTCCAATGAACTCGACGAAATATGCTAAGAGACGGGCAACGCGTCTGTCGCGAGTTGTCGCTTTAAAATGGTTAAACAGTGAATTATTTATCGACGTAGATGCGTTTCTGACGGAACGAGAAAGAGGACGTAAAATAGAATTTATTAATATTGTAATGAAACGTGATTCTCACGGCCGCATTTTCATACAAATTCGCATTTTTTGAAGATAAAATTGAAAGAGAAGAATCCTGGCAGAATTTCATTTCACGTGGCATAGAAAGCACTACCTTTTGGATGTTTTATTGTATTTTATATATTTTATTCTATTATGTACAATTTTATACGTGAAAATTGGATTCTTCTTCTAAACGCATAAAAATCCGCAGCCCGTTGATGGATGCTCCAAACTTTCAAATGCTATTGTATATTTCGCAGAACATTTAGGCAGCTAATTATTAATTATCTAACAAGCTTCAATATTTCATTTACAATAAATACTATACGATGCCTGTACTAGTTTCAAATTTTTCATCACATCTCATTATAGTATTAATAAAATTTCAGAATGCTTTACACATTTTTCTACGGTGAGTGTTCGAACAGAACTTGTCGAAAGGCGAATATTTTACAAAACCAACGATCGTCTCTCCACTGTCAATAATTTTTCATTCATGCAGTAACAGTTTCCCTGTTCAAATAAATGGATCCAACTAGCATGAATTTATTTAATCAATTACAGATTAAGATTCAGCCGAATTGTAAGTAAATGAAATTCATACAAACGACGGTTTGCATCGTTGAAAGATCTCGGTAATCGCGTTGCGTTCCACGAAAGATCATGTCGCGAGAGATAACGCCTTGCAATCAGCAAAATCAACAAGCCACTCGCGCTCGAACGACATTAGAATTAGATTCTTTTCGCAGAGTGTTAGAAATTTAATGGCGATGTTATCGCTCAAAGGGGAACGCGAAATCTTAGGAAGGAACGAGGAGACCAGGCTATTTAACAGGTCGGCCGGCGTGTAAACTGCTTTCAGCAGAAGCTTTAAACTTGCCTCTTTGTCTTACAAGCCGAAACTGTCTCAAAGTTCCATCCTCTTTCTCTTCAAACCCAATTACATCGCTACCAGGAGTTGGCCCCGTCGGCCCCGTCTGCCAGCGTCCTGAAGCAGCGAAACTCGCTAAAAGGAGCAGGCGAGGGGGTCAGGGAGATTTGATAAAACGGAGGACTGACAACCCCGTTGACCCCTTTCTGTGTGTCGTGACAAGAGAGAGAGAGAGAGAGAGAGAGAGAAAAGAATTGGACGTACAGTCTCGTTCGTAATAGTATTAGAACACTTTCCGGTTTCACACGAAACCTGATAAATAGTTTAAATTAACGATTAACCTATTAAAAAAACTACGTTTATCACAGTGTCACGAATGGTTCGAGATTTTTCAAAATAATATAAGCTACTGAGAAACGATAAAAAGAAAAACTATCAAAAGAATCTCTTGGATTTCCTTCCACGATATTGAAAAAAATTTACTCTATTTCAATCGTTCTGAAAAGTAACATCAGTCACTAATGATCAACCCGTTAATAATACAATATCCAAAATTAATTGAAAATATCGCGTATAAAAGTGTGACCTTTATTATAATATTGAGTTCTTTACTTATTATGTATCTTCAGGTTCAACAATCTCTACGTATCTTTCAATCGGATGATATCGACAATCAAATCGGATAATAAATCCTAAGAGGATAATTTCGCTCCCTCTTTCTATCCACTCGCGAACGATAGTGTACACGCAGGGAAATAGTCGGCAAGCGGCTTCTATCTCTCTTTATGAATTCGTTCGATTCCGAAGAACCGTGTAGATGAAATCCGAACGACGCCGTAAATTACTTTTCTGACGGAGTAATATCGAATCCAGCCACCAGTCGATTTCGCCAAACAGCCGAAACGTTCTGCAGAGGCGTTTGCCAACGTCCTCAACGTAACAGAATAGTCGCAACATCAGGTTTCACGGCATATTCGTGTGTGTATCCGTGAAAGCGTACCTGGTGTATGCACGTGTACGTATGTGTGTGTGTGTGTGTGTGTGTGTGTGTGTGTGTTGGAGGGTGAGTTGGAAACGCACCCTGTGAGCGCGACGACTAATGTCTCGTCGAAGCAAGCTGACCCCCGTAGGTGAATCGATCATTCCTCTCTCTAGATTGGTAGATTGGGAGCGCAGTTGCGTTCTATCGTAGCGAGCGCATGGTCACGGGACGTGTACAAATAAGTAGCCCTGGCTACACACTCCCGTGACAAATAGGGGAGGAAATTCGTATATGGAAACTAAGACGAATTTCGCGTGCAATTTTCTGCGAGAGGCGGGTAGAATTCACCGCGAGTTGCTCTCTCTCTCTCTCTCTCTCTTTCTCTCTCTCACTCTCCCTCTGTGCTAAAGCCAACTGCAATCGGAACTTGAACGTGGCGACGATATATCCACAACCGCGGCGCCACAGCAGTGGCCAGCAGTCGAGTTTTCCAACTTTTCCGCCGCAGTTGTCAACGCGGCTCCGAATTTTCTCGGAGTTTGATTTCAAGCGAAGATGGAAATTATAGCTGCTTGGTAAATCTATCGCCGTTTATTTTGCCTTCGTGTATTTTTATGAAAATTTTTAAAACTGAGCTCCTCGAAAGAGGAGGGGGGAGGGGGAGGGGGGAGAGAGCGGAACTGCTAACCAAGAAAGTTACTCAGGCCTGTTTTTCAAAGTCGGGAATCTACAGAGTAAAGATCACAGAAATTACAAGAAAAATATAAAACTATTGAAAATTGTATACCTATGTTTTTCGACTGACCGAAAAGTTTCAAAAAATATATACGCGGTGCTAAGTAAAAAGTCCAGAATTTAAAAAATATTCAGTTAATCATCAAAACGCAGCTAACAATAAGTTTATTAATAAAGTTCACATAAATTGTAGAATCACAAGATTACAAATTACAAGTTGCAATCAATCTCCAAATTTAATCAAACGTAAAATTCAAATGGAGAACTGAATTAATGATTAAACGCGACAGACTCTAAATCGCTAAGCTATTGAATTGCTAAATTATTAAATACGAAAGTTTTAAAACATATTTTCGAAAGTCTATAAATATTATAAATTCGATTTTTGGCGTTAGTTCCCGTAGCGTTAGACCTTTTCCAACTCAATCATCTCGTGTTCTCCAGTGGATTTGCTCGTTATCTGGAGATAGAATCGCGTCACACCAAACACCTCTCGATCGTGCTGACAGGTGGAAAGAGGATAAACGAGCAACGACGGCTAAAAGGGAGTCGAAGGGAAATGGAATCTTGATCTACTATCGCGTGTTTCATGGATTTTGGATTAACACCGTGCTAAATGGATAAAAAGCATTCGAGCTTGTTCTCCCTTGCCTCCTCCCGTCCCCCTTTCTTTTTTCTTGCCGTTGCAACTAGCAGACGGGAACGAGCACTCGACGCGCGCGAACCATCGGCTGGAACTTCGGAGACCGATAAAATATTTAACGGAGGTTCGAACCGACACAGAGTTGAAACAAGCTACATGGTATAGACTGATCATTTATTTGTAAAGGAAATAGCCCGGATCCGGGACCCGGAGTAAATCGGTTCCTTGAAAAGTATTATCCAAGAGCGATTCATAGAATTCGATCGGGAACATTGTACCGTTTGTTCCTTCAATTTTTATCTACGATACGTCAACTTTGCTCGGATCGAGTTCATCGTGATTTTCCGATAATGAAAAAAAAAAATATGGAAAGTTAGTAATGAATTATTTAATAACATTCTACTGGATGTTAGAACTGTGAGTTACGGTATTATAAGGTTCTATAATTATTACGGTACCATTTCAGATCTATACAATTCGAAATGAACGACATACTTATTCAAATACTTGGTCAATAATAAAATACACTGACGTTTTACATTTCGGCATTCTACGCTTTTTACGAGTAAAATATCTCAAAAGATTCGTCCATTGCATGGAGTGCCATTCTGAATTACGTGGAATTTTTATACTTCTCAAATATGAATACAAAGTCTTACAAAGTTATGATACTGCAAAACAAAAAAAGTCAGAAGAACGTACAAATGGCCGTGAATGAAGAGCGAATTGTCAGATAATTAAAGGAACGGCGGCCCTTGGCCAACAAGTTTCCGTGGTATTTTCCTTAGAAAAGAATGAAGTCGTGGTAGGAAAAAATTGCTCACAAAGGCGGGTCCGGTGATGAATTAAATAACCATGGAAACTAGTCCATTCAGCATCTTGTAATCCCCGTGCAAGGCGGATTTACAACCTTGCTGACTGCGTTTCCTTTCATCCCCCACCATTCATTTCGAAAGCTGTACTACGATTTTCGGTCTCTCCTCCACGTTTCTCGCGAACAATACGCGAAATCTATCTCGAGAGAAAAGTGATGGCAAATTGAATACGACGAATGGACGTCAAGAACACACACGCGAGAATGAAATTCCAGCACGTTGTACAGTGCCTGACTCGTTAAGAAGCAGACACAGTAATTTATCGCAATATTATAAATGGCAATCT